TTTAAAAGACTGATGGATGAATAGTTGAAATATTTGGTATTTGGGTTTGTTGGAATTAACAAAAGTCTGATTAACTTTATTATTTCGCGTTTCAAATTAAATAGCCTTTAGCGATTTTGTGTGTACTCGTTTGAAAGGGCAGTTATTACTATGAGGACAGTTATTATTTCGCATACACATTTGCTCTTTTTAAAAATTTAATTCTACTGAAATCAATGAATTGGTGAATACTTAAATTTTTAAAATTTATTAGGAACTAGGGATTGAGAATTAGTAATAACTTTCATTTGTTTACCACACCATCAGGCAGAAAAGAAAGTTCAACGAAATACCAGTCTTGAAAGTATTTTCTACTAAATCTATGTATATCTGGCCTATTGCTTAGCATTTTCGCAAAAACTTTAATTCATTTCATTGAAGTTTTTCAAAGTATTTGCTTTCAAGATAATTTTCCTTTCAATTTCATTGTTGTTTTTATAATTTCACTTGGATTCAAAATACCAATTTTTTTCCTGTGATTATGCAGCAAGAATAATTTACCAGAAATGAATGAAGGCATAAAATTAGCAAATCAAATTAAATTTGGTGTTACTTTTAAAAAAGTATGATGAATCAGTCATCAATTAACCAAGCATCAGCACCATCTCGGCCACTAGCATCAACTAAAACATTCCAAGAGTTGCTTGAACAAATTCTTTAATTATTTACATTGCTTTGACAAGACTACATCTTTGAGTTTGCCCGTGTATATCTCGTGGCATTTGTATGTATTCATACAAGAAAAACAAAAATTTTCTTAAAGTTGTCATATTTTTGACGTCGATACTGTTCATGGGCGGCACTTGAAATTTTCATTGATATTGCCATATGTTTGTTGGTTTTCAAAAAAATTCATATTAATAATCAAACAAAAAAATTTGTCGTAGCTGCTTAAAATTCTCGACAAATATTTATTTATTTTTTAATTTATAAAAATGAACAATTATAACATGTAGTTAGTGATTTACTCTTTATCACTATTATTAATTTTGAATAATCAGAAATAGAGAAACGTAGTTATCACATTCATTTAATGATCCAAATAACTTTTTGTAATTAAAAATTTGAAATTTCTTTCTTAAAGAGATCATCGAGAATATTTTGCAATATTTATTCTACATAAGGATATCAAAAAAATGAGACTATAAATGTATGATGTAATGAGTATTTTGCTTATCAATAATTATGCTGCACTCGTGTTTCTTGCAAAATTTATTGATAGATTATTTGTGACATTTTATTTTTCTTGTATTTTTAACGTCATTTTTTTGTAGCACTTTGCACAATTATTCTCATAGATAAACGTTATGCTCATAAAAATTTGCATATTGCATATTTTTGATCTACGCGGGAAGTAATATTCATCGGTGGTATGAATTAATGTAAGCCAGAAAAATTCTTCTACTGTTCATTTCATTTCAATGTATTATTCCTCTGTCTGTCCTTCATTTTCTTTGTTGTTTCTCAACTTGAAATTACCTTACATTTTACAAAAGCTATTTAATGCAATGAAACATCTGTATTTTCTATCCAGTTTTAAAATCAATTCAGTTATTGCTGTTGTGGTTTGCAGTAAAATAATGCACAAATATTGTGATTTATGATTAAATTTGAATGAATTTAGCTGATGATTAAGAAATTACATTAATGGAGCAGTCCATGGATTTTGATAGATTAGAAAATCTTTGCATCTGAATAGTCTTCCTTTGAAGGTATAGCATGTTAAATAAAAGTGAACTGGTTGTTTTTTGAAAATTTTAATTGAAGCTTACCTATAGAATTTCTGATTGGATGATTTATTGCAGTAGATCCATTTAGTTTGAAATTTTTCAGCCAAATCGAACTTGTAGTGAAAGAAGAAAGAACAGTTTTGAGTTGTTAATTTTTGAAAGCAAATATGTTCTTCAAACAGTCTCATACATTATAATTAAAATTTAGTTTGAAATTTCGTCAGCTAGTTGACAATTTGGAGTGAAGTACTATGAAGCATCTTAGTGTACTAAATTGAAGCAGTCTTTTAGCGATTTGCTACTTGTTAAATATCTTAATTTCAGTTTTATTTTCTTCAACTTAAAATGTGCGTAATGGTAAAAATTGTTTTCATGTTGCAGTTATCACTACTTATTTTGAAAGAGAAAAGAAAGAAAAAAGAAACAAAATTCAATTTTTCTTTTCATTTTAAAGTTTAGTTTCAAAAAAGATTCACAAGAAATTTTTTTGACATAACAATGACTGACAGGTAAAGAAATGTGTCGGCACGTACTGCATGGATTGTTTTACAAGCAGCACTTACCATGTGGTATGTGCCATGTATTTAATCTCCAATGACAATTTTGTTTTTTTGTTTGTTATTATTAGTTTAAGTTAATTCTATTTTCATATTTAAATCAATCTATTGTTTCTTTCTTTTTTCTTTAACATTTTGATTACAGAAATGATTTTGAAAAGTAAATGAAATTAAAGTTTTCTGCTCTGTTTTCAGTTTCAGACTAAGATTTCTTCCACTTAGCAATTAATGAAGTTTAGATTAGAAATTTTATGCTTCCATTTTTATTCTCAGCAAAAATGTACAAGAAAAAGTTTAAAAAATTTGGAAAATAATACTGTTATATTATTATCCTAAGCGATTTACTTTCACTTTTTTGATGTAAAAAAGTTTGTTAGAAGGGTTATTTTGCAAACATTTTGGTATTGTCATCAGTGCTATTTTTTTCTTTTCTAGTTGAATTTCATGTTTAAAAATTTGAGTTACTTGGTAATGGCGAGAACTACCCTTTGCGAGAACTTGTAAGAGTGAATTTATTGATTTCCATAACTGTATTCTATTTTTGCTTGTAATTTCCTAATACAAATAATGATGCTTGCAGCAGTGCAATGCAGTCTCACCTTTGACCTTACTAGCGATCACTATATTTTATTCTATGGTGAAAATGACTTTAATTCTGAAAAAATTCCACTGTGTATATTTGCAGGAAAAATATTCATTAGTATTCTTTTCAAATTGTTTTCTTTTTGTAGATTTAATTTGCATTCCTTCATTACTTTTTGCAGCTGATTGAGTGGGGTGGCACTCTTTAAAGTGAACTGAAAAGAACCAAAAAAATTTGATAAATTTTCAATTTTCATTCTTTATGTATGTATTTTCACTTATTTCTGCATCAAATTTCTGAGACTTTATTTTCAAAATGCTTCTTGACCGATGGTACATACTAATGTCGTATGATGTTATATGAATTTCGGTATGAAAAGATAGACACAAATCAGATAGTAAGGTAAAACTAAACATGAGAATGGATAATTTGTGATAATTAATTAGTTGGTGTATTTAATTCGTGATTAAATCAGTCTAAGCAAAAATCAATCAAGTATAATGAGCACCATTAATTATGGTAGACAAAAGAGTTTAACAAAAAGAAATTACTACAGTCTAATAATTTTGCATATATTTTTGCTCTTATTTTTAAGTATTGCTACCAAATGTACAGTCAGTGCATACACACATCAGTCAATGAATATTTTAATATTTTTGTAGGATTATATACGGAGTAATAATGATGTCATATGTAATGAAGTAAAGTTATGATTAGCATGTTAAAGATGCAATACTGCGTAATGCAAAAAAACGGTAAATGTAAGAAAATACGGATAAGGAAGTTTGAAAAGATAGAAAGATGCGTAAGACGATGAAGACTGAAATTTTAAAGACTGTCGTGGTTTATGCATATATCTTACCAAACTGAGCTCAAGCTGGTGCGGTGAACGACACCAAAGGATGGTTAGATTTGTATTGGATTGGAAGAATGAAAGAATATATGGGTGGATTAAGACTGCCTGTCAGCACCTCTGACATTTAATAGTGCATAGGTAGGCGATTAAGTAAGTGGATAAGTAGTGCATAAGAAACGTTCATTATACATATCAACTTTTTTGTTCTCAAAAATTTCTAACAACACATTACAATGTTTATCTGCCTATTCTTGTCGGGTTTTTTCTTGCTTCACTGTTGTCCGCACTTGCGCCATACTTGAAGGTGTTATTCAATAAGTTAGCATAATTTCGCAATCATTCTAGTTATACCGTAATGATTTATTTGTAGCGATATTTGGGTGTAGAAATGAATATGAAAGATTTAACATGAAGTGGTAGAATATAAAGTTAATTTAGTATTCTTTTGATCTTTATGAAGGGATGTTGAAGAAATATATATATATATATGGTGAAGAAAAATTGTAAGCAAGACATTAGAAGTTAACAAATTTTTCTACGTAATTGTTCACAACATATTCATTGCTAGTACTTATTTCTGCGGTATTTACCGCTACTTATTATTCTCTACAATGAAGTGAATGTGCTCATAACAAATTTGGCATGTACAATATGCTTTTCTTCTTTGAATATATTAAAGTAGATAAAATTTGTATTCATTTGTTTGATGCATTAAATTTCATAAATATCTTGAAAATTCACTTCTGCCTTGCAGTAAATCAATTTTAAAGTAAAGTTTCAAAAATATATATTAGTATGCTTCCTAAAACTTTTTACATTCGATGAAAAATTGGTTTATAGAGCTTATTTTTAGTGATTATTTTTTCTCTTTTTTGTTGTCTTTTCAAATTATAAATTCATGTAAAAAAGTAATAAGAGATAGATTGAGTGTGATACTGAGATTAGAAAACATTTACGTCGATTTTAAAATGTGGCGTACAGTTTTGGTTGTAGATTAGCTCTTATCACCTTTTTCTGACGCTTTTCATTGTCATCTTCTGATATGGCGAAAGAGTATTTCATATTGAAAGTTTTCATTTTTTTTTGTTTTCAGGGACTCTCTAGCAACGTTTCTCATCCTTGGTTACAACTTGAACAACAAACAATCTGTACAACGATTGCTAGCACCACTTTACCAACATACTTCTATTGGTGACTTGATCATAATTATATTATTGATATATATATTTGTACAGTATATATATATGGTATTTGTTATAGACACACTGATGTGATTATTCAAATCTGAGGTCTGATAAGATAGTTTAAATTCTGAAATTAATACATTGTTTGTTTTAAGAAGTGTTTAAAAATGATGCCAGCAAGTTTAAATAACGGGAATGGCACTGCAAAACATCATCAGCAACTTTTGCAATCCGCTTCAATGATACCTTCACCGTACAACTTCTTGCCGTCAGTTTTTGCTAACGCGCAGTTGGATATGCAGTTATTTCGACCTCCTGACTCGGTACCTACCTTTGTGAAAAAGTGTCCATAATTGTAACAAAGCTGTACGGAATCCGCAAGTTTGGTTCATATCTGTGTTTTGATAGTAATAAATGATAGAATTAAAATTTATAACTTTCAGAACCTGGGTGCGATGTACTTGAGTCAGTTAGCAGCAACAGCGGCTATCAACCAAAGTCAAAACAATGGTAGTAATGAAGCTACTAGTAGTAACTCGAATGACCAGCAACAAGATGAATCATCAGGAGAAAGTATTCAAATTGATATTCCCGCGTCAACTTCTTCTGAGGTAGTTACATCATCATGTCGAGATGAATCTCCCCTATCTCATAAATCATCAGATATCACAGAACAAGAGGTTGAAGGACCTAGAGAACAGGATTCTTCTGATGACGACACACTAAGGTAAATATGAAAATCTTCAATTGAATTGTCCAACTAATTTTTTTTGAAAAACTCAGAAGATGCAGGTGTTTTGGATATTTACAGTTTTTGAAAGAAGTGTGCATAAGTCAACATGTTATAGTCAAAACAAAGTGAACGCAGAAGATGCAGGTGTTTTGGATAGAAATGATGACGTACAGGTTCCCCAGGTATCCGAATTACAACAAGTAGATCTTTCAAAATGGATCTCGGAATTCCTTCCGTCAGTACAGAATAACCCCTTGTGAGTTTCCAAGCATTTTTTAAAATCAGATGAAAACTGCTAATTCATGTTGTAAGGTTTTATAACTGATCAATTGATATTCTAGGGGAATGGCTGGTTTAACGCAACAAATGCCCTTAATGCTTGAGCAGATGCAACTCATGAATCAGTACTTCCCAGCAGCTTCCGTCGAGGAATCTTTGAGAGTTCTCGCGGCACTTAGTACAGTCACCAGTCCTGCGTCTGCTGTTCCATCAACGACTTGCAACCCGGCTTCAGTTCTGAATGGACCATTTTCTGGTATTGCCGGACATTCAAAGGTTAATTTTACAAGTTTTGTATGTTTTTCTATTTCAATAAGCATCTTATGTACTTAAAAAGGAAAGTGAAAATGTGGTATTGGTACACATGCTCGGGACTATTGCACAAATGAAACGATGTATGGAAAACCAGAAAAAGGTATTTATTTGGAGAGTTTAAATGTATATTTGCAGGATACATACTGTGAGATGTGCGACAAAAATTTCTGTAATCGTTACTTTCTTCGAACACATAAGTGGAAAAAGCATGGCATTGCATTTGCGGGCAAGAATTCGCCAACGGAGTGCATTGCAGCAACGCTAGCAGCACGTTAGTTCAAGATTATCTCACTGCAAAAATTTCGTTTTTCGTAATTCACTGATTACTGTAATAAAATTAAAGTATCAGAGTAAGGTCTAATGAGGTCTATCACACTTTTCGTCTATATTGTGTGGAGTAATTTTGATGGAAGTTGCGGAAAAAAATCAGTTATGTATTTAGCGTCAATTCCTCAGAATTTTGCTTTGGATTTGCCAACTACCTCGTCAGGAGTAAATCTTAGCCCGGCAGAAATAATTGCTGCTTTATGCAATCAAAGTGCAATGGATGTTTCGCAAATCTCACCGCCCAGAAGTACATTATCTCAACCAACGTCTGTCATTGTCAACTGTCTATCCAATGCAGACTCCTCAGCAGCTAAGCGAACAAGATTGAATGATGACGAAAACAAGGAGGAAGAAGAAGCGTCTTTGACGTGTGCAAGGTCTAAATGTTGCTGATTTTGTAAGGTAGTTCAGAAAGCGAGCTGTGTGAAAATTAAGTTTAGTTTCAGATCAGAAAACATTCGAATAGATGAGGAATCAAATATAGCCAATCAGTTGCCGAATACTGACGATTTATTCGCGATGATTGCTCGACAAGCTCAGGAGAATGCCGTCACTCGGGAGTTGTTATCATCTTTGAAACAGGAAGGAATACAGCCATCACTGCAAGAGCAATCGTACGTTACACGGCTTTTATAATTTCCAAATAATCATACACTACAATAAAACATATTTGCAGTTCGCTGTCAAAGAGTGCTTCTAATACTACTAATATCACCGCTACTACTACTACTACTACTACTACTAGCGCTACTTGTACTACTGCTACTTCTGCTGTTGCTTCTACTACTACTACCACTAAAAATGGCAATAAAGAGTCATGCGAAATGTGTGGACAAGAATGCGATACACGCACGACATTGCAGCAGCATCTGATTTTACAGCACAACATTTTGAGCACTCTTTTGACTCCATTTCAACTGTTCCAGCCGTTGGCTCGATTGCAGCCACAACAACAGCAGCAACAGATGCAGCACCAACAAAACAACTCTCAAGCAGAAGACGTAGATCGATCTCGGAGTTCAACTATCGTTCCAACAATGCTCCCATCACCTATTGCTGCAGTATGTATTTGTGAACACGATGATTTTTAGTGGAGCTAATGTTGCTTTTTTGCATTCAGGATAGCAACTTTTATAAGCTACGGTCAGACTAATGTTGATGTTAAAGAGGGACAAATTTTGATTTTCGAGTAGTCATCCAATTTTTGTTGATATAGATCATTTTAGTCACGACAGCCAAAGAAATCCTACTCAGCTACTGGCAAAAATTACTGCGATGTGTGCAATAAGGAAGTATGTAACAAGTACTTTCTTCGAACTCATATGCTTAAAATGCACGGCATTGTAATTGACGAGCACAAAACTATCATCGCCAACATCGATACGCTAGAAAAAGAGAAGTCTGGCACTATTGCTTTCAGGTAATATTTGTTTTTTGCTTAATTCATCTCTTATAATGTAAGGTAGAGCGATATTGGATTTGGTCTGGTGCTAGGTGGCATTTGTCAATAAAGCACAGAAGGAAACACTAGAAGAGGATGTCGTCCTGCAAACTAGCAAATTAAGTAAGCAGCGATGGTTAGAGTAGCAGAGAGCGTAGATAGATAGTGCACTATGAATTATTTCAGATGTGACATTTGCAACACAAATGTAGGACAAACTCGAGAGTCGCTGAAACAACACAAACAGGAGGTGCACAATGTAGTTTCACTGCCTACTTCGCGCGGACACCGTGGATCGCTCAGTTCGAACTCAAGTATTACAAGTACTTCCACCTGTAGAGGAACAGCAGAACAGTCCGCTAGTAATCACCTAGAGTATGCTTTGTTAATTTAATTTTGTCTGAATATTCTCTGCTGCACGCGTTAGTTTGTATGAGTTAAAGGATGATAGCTAAATGACTTTATAGTTGAGCATTACGCAGTTCAGGTTGAGGAATTAAGACAAGCTGTTTGCTATGTATGGGTAACTTGTTTCTTTGAATCTGCTGTGCACACATTCATCACTTAAGCGCGTTTGTCTAGTAAAACAACTTTCCCCTTTTCTCCTCCTGCGCACACGACAAACAACATATAACACTATGCGAGGAATACGACGATGAGTTTCGCTGTTCTTTTCCCTCTCCATTTGCATTTCACGGAATGGCCAAGAAATAATGCTTTGAAGGAAGCAAATAATCACTATAGGAGCAAGAAAGCATGGCTTGACATTGAAGTTGATATATATATATATATTTATTTTTTTTAATTTTATGTCTACGATTACTTACCGAATATTATTTATATATTGGTATTTCAATTCATAATCACATGAAACATGCATCTTTGGATGGCTTTCCACTTAATTGATACGTCTCGAAATAATTTTTCACTTATTACATAGTGTATTTGGGCGATGCAAAGTGCACAGGTGCCGGTGCAAATATATAAAATGAAATGTATGCGTACGACTCGACTCACGTCCGTACCTGTGTGAATGTTTGGATGATCGTGCAAAATGTGTTAGAACGAGATCGATGGGAGGAGGAATGAAGAGGCTGTGATGTTGGTGAGTAGTTGTTTGTTGCCAGCCAGTCAGGCACACAGGCAAGCAGTGAGCACGAATTAGTTTCCTCAGACATGAAGGGAGTGGTATTAGTCAAAAGAGGGCAGTGCTGTTCTGTGCTACTGCCATTGCTGGCTGGCTGGCATCACTACTGCTGTTACTTGCTACTCGTAGAAGTACTAAATACCCGGGCGGAAAGGAGTAGAACTGGGAAGTAGTAGTAGTAGTAGTAGTTGCCGTTGGCTGGAATCAAGCGAGAAGAACAAAGCGCAGTGTGTTACTCCCATTGATGCTGCATAGATTGCTGGATGGATGGATGCATGTATGCATGTGTTAAAATAGATTGATGAAAGGATGTATGCATGTATTAATAAGTGGATGAAAGAACGTATGTATGAACATTGCGGGAAAGTGATTCTGAAGTTTTGTGTGCTGTTTTTCCTGTTATTTCATTATCTTTTTCCTGCGGGCCAACATACCTTGCTCAGTACTATTCAACTTAGCAACTAAACTCGGCGTTTCAAGCTACTGATTGAGATTAATTTTGCTATCATTGTTATCAGTTTTATTATTATAATCTACAAATTGCACTACTATTATCGCTAATATTACTTCTACGTTTACCCCATTAGTAATATTAGTAACAATTTATTGGTTACGCATTGTTAAAAAGCATGCAACGTTTTTCGGCGCGATTTTTAGAAGATTTAAAGATTGCTGTTGAGAAAGCATTTGCTTTACAAACAAATCTTGGGTAAGCTTTAGCGGACACTGCATCGCTTTAGTCAAACTCTTGTCTACCTTGCCAGAGTCTTTTGCATTTTACATTCTACCTGCTCTGACAATTTCACGACCATCGTTTATGTTTTTCAAAGCATAAGACTGTATTTTTTAAAATTCATTATGGCAAAGTTTGTCACTCATTTTTTTTGCTATTTAAGAAAACTTAATTAGCTTATTCAAAAGGAAACAAAAGATGACACTCAAAACAATGAACGACACTGTTAGCAACATATATATTATTATAGCAGTCAACTTCGTTGTCCGCTATGTGATGTACGATCTGCAGGTGTGCCGGCAATACAAAAACATCTCTCAGAGAAGCACAAGATGGAGTTGAGTGTGGAGTCATTAGAGAGCTTTTTAAAGGTAAGCAATGTTTTATCAGCTGAACACAATCTTCATTACTGGTTAATATCAGGTAGTGCAACAGTTCTTGTTTCCCTTACAGATAATATATGTCAGTAAGTTCAAGTGAAATTAGTGCTTTCAGGATGCATATGAAATTAAAAGTGGACAAACTGCTTCAGCGCTGATTGGATCAGTTATGGAAAATTTCCCGCAGCAAATGACCTCACAAACTGAATTTACTTGTACACAATGCACAGAAGTATTTAATGATCAGATACAATTCCAACTTCATATGATTCACACTCATCCATTAACTATGCCCAGTACAGGTTGACATTTAAGTTCTTTAATAGATGTTTATATGGTAGTGACAAATTTCATATTTTGTCATGTATATTACTCATCTATTGTCTCTCCAGTTTAACTGCCAAAGAATTGAATCTTAGAAAAGCTTGAACGATATTCATTAATTTTTCAAAAAACTGTTGCAGAACCAACGCAGAATGCGAACTTGCTCTGTGCGCAGTTCAACTTCCAGTCATCAAGTGTTTCAGATTCTTGGGCTGATTCAAATACCAAATCAGCTAATGACAAGAAAGAAAATACAGAAGAGGATGAAGCATTGCAAGTTACAAGTAATGACGAACATCACATCTCAACAACAGTAAGTATTTGACATTATTATGTGTAGACTTTGCTTTCACACACCTTATTTTCGCCATTTAAATCTCTTTTTTTCCTAGATCTTTTGATATAATTCGTGAAAGTTTATTATTCAAGGACTTTATTACTGAGTATTCAGAAAAGATGAAGATCTTTCTCTGCTTTTTTATAACTGAAGAAAATTTTCTTCCTGAACAAGCATTGCCATTGAAAGTTTTTTCTCACAGCAACATCATTAGTAGTTATCAGCTTTCATTGTTTTGCGCCTGAAAAATGATGCTGACTGCATCTGTAAACTTGATAGCTTTACACTAAAACAGAAACATATAGTTATGTCCCTCGCAAAAATATGAAACTCTTGTTTTAATTAGGCCTCGTAATGGTTTTGTTTTGATGACATTTTTCAAAGCATTAACATCATAATTTCAGAAAAATCTGTATGATTGTCCCATATCATGCTGTTCTAGACGATATCGTAGTCTTACGATGTTGAACAAACATATTGCTATAATACATCGGTGGAGTTTAAAGCTTCCATTCAAATTGGGAAAGAAAAATACTCGTGATGCGAGAGCTTTTTGTAAGTTATTATTCATGTAAACTTTTCGTGATTCAGGAATAATTGTAGAGGTCGGAAACCCTAAATTTTCATGACATAATCAGTTCTTAATCAGTTCGAATGCAGGATCTTTTTGTTTGCAATGCATTTGTCACGATTTTGTTATATAAGTCACATGTCAAATCACTGCTTAATGTGCTATTGTTTCAAATATCTGTTCGTTTTTAGGAAGATATTTGAAATTTTCTATTTTATAAGTTAATGTAAAGGTTTTAAGATCATAATTTCAATCTCTTTCAGGCAAAGCACGAAAAGGGAACCATCTTTTCATGCTAAAAAACTTTAGACGTCGCATTTTGTCACGAAATGATTGTGAAAAGCAGGTTTTGCATCATTTTGAAAGTACTTCAAATGGTGATAAATCAACAATAGAGTCGAAAAAGAGTGGATCAGAAAATGGTACATTTGACGGCATAGAAGATATGAACTTAATACCAATTGTAGAAAAACGTGGTAGCGGGTGTGAGAAAGAACATAATAGTCATAGCGTAAGTGATGTTCTGTAGTTCATAAAAAAAATTTGGAGCTCAGCAAGCAAAAATTTTTTGAAATGTTTTGGGGGTGAAAAGTTTAAGCAAAAAAACTTTCTCTATACAATGCTTTACTGAAGACATTGATTATGTTTGATTACGCATTTGTGCCCATAGAGTAATTTCTCAAATTTTTTCTTAAAAAAAAGTTAAATGTTAATATTTTTTTAATATCTGCTTTTTTTTAGCAAGGTATGTCAAACTTGAATACAATGCGTGAAGGATTTGGACGATTGTCTAGTAATAACAAACCTTATACAATGCAAACATTCGTGATACGAGAACAGGTTTCGCAGTCTTCGACAAATGGTACAGTGATGAGAGAGCCAATTTTTGATGAAATGATTGCACATTTACCAGTTCGAAATATGGTTGAGGAAGTGATTCGAGTAAACGTGGAATTGATCCCAACATCTAAGCAAGTCTCACCTATTCTACATTTATGAGACAAAACATGTGGTGCATTATTAATGCGCAAATTTTATGATCTGTTGTACAGAATTTTTATTCATATAGTGATATATTAAGTGGACACATATATATAATAGTGTAAGTATTATGGTGATTTTTCTCAGTTCATCCTGTAATTAATGAACAAAAAGCATGAATAAGTCGTACTTAAGAAATCTTTTCTTTTGAAATCAGTTTTATCATAGTTCTCTTGAAATTTTATCATAGTTCTCTTGAAATGTGAAGTCAGGTCTATAAAATCAAAAGTATGTTGTTTTCTATGTTAATGCTTTGTAAGTTGCTCAGCGATTAAATTAGTAAAAGAGGGGAGAAAACTTAATAAATTGTCGCGAACTTTGTTTAGAAAGCAAAATTAATAAAATCCGATACCTTGTTACTTTGCAAATTGAGTTCCTATCTGTTGTGGTGAACTCTTTGCAGAGTTCTACAATTTAAGTGTGAACTGAGAAAGTTGTTTCAAATCATATAAATTGAGTTATTTTTATAGATTATGAAAATTCATTAATAAAGCTGTTTTGATGTTATTCTTTAATACTGCAAAGTTATAATCTCAGGTAACATTATAATCATCTATTCAGGAAAATGTTTGATGTCTTCTTGTTCCGTAAATGGTTTTCATCTTCATTATACGTAAATTGTTTTCCTTAAGTAGTGAATCAGGTGGAAAACTTTCAATGTAATTTTCGTTTGAGACTAATTCCAGTACTACCTGAATGTTCCTTCTTTTTTAAGAATTGTTCTCTGTTTAGAATGCATTTCTTACGTTCACTGTTTAAATTAAGATATATAAGTTTGAGCAGTCTTGGTCTCACATAAGAAGAAACAACATATCATATAATTTCATGCACATATCTTGTTTTTGTCTAATTTTTATTGTTTTTTTTTAATATAACGAACAAATATCCCCATGAGTTTATCATTAATATTTCTCGCAATTGTATATTAGATAGGTCTCCCTTCCTAGTTTGGTGTATTTGCAGTTACACCCGCTAATTATTTCTTGCCATTTCATATTGAAACATGACTTATTTGTTGTTTCTTTATTATTCTTTTATCATCTTACTTGCCAAAAGTTTAGTAAGTGATGAGGCTGAATGCATAGGCTGTTTTTTTTCATCAATACAAGGTTTAATTGCATTGTTTTTGCTGTATATTGATGGAAACAGTGCATTTCGTTTAAGCTTAATGATCAGTAGTAGCAGTTTTTGACATGCAATATGGACAGCAGTATATGCCCAAGCTAGAAACCTGTCATTGTTGCAATTTTTATAAGTTCGAAAACTGGCCACAGATTTTATTCTTTTGCAAACTTATTGTGCCATATCTCTTCGTTTTTCACTTTGGATTATACCGTTTTTGTTCAAAGGAAGATTCCTGCAGTTTAATTAATATTTACATATATTTATACATATGGAGAAGAA